CCAAATAGCAATCAGATTGTAATTCCTGCAGAGCTTCCCCTTGGGGTTTACCAACAAGCTACCTTGAATGAGAAGTTTTCTGGGGAGGTTACCAGGGCATTGAGAACAAACTGGCTTGTGTCTAATGAAGTGCATGGCTTACAGACATAATGCCTGAGCGTGGCAAGCCAGGTCACTGTTACCACCATAACTGGGAGGGTTCTTGGAAGCTTGGAGACGGACAACATTCTAGCAGTCGATTGGACATTGGAAGATCAAATGCAAACTCTTACAATGAAGTGAAGGAGAAGGCTATGGACTAGACGGTGTCAGAGCACTGGCAGGGAGGGATTTGCTGTGTCCTAGAGGGGTCTTCAGAGGCACAGGGCTTCCCAAAATGTGCCGCCAGGTGCATACTTCCACACTCCATGGGCACATCCCCATGACCAGGAATATTTGTGCCACTGCTAGTTGTCCCCAGGGAACACCCCTGTATGTGTGCTCAGGCGCATGGCAAGTTATCCCAAGTGGGGTAGGGGAGGCTGGGGCCAGCACCTGGACTAGCCCCAGCAGCTTTACCTGGGGTCCTAGTGGCTTCCTGAGGCTCCAGCAATGGAAACACCATGTATCTGGGTCCATGAAGGTAGTTTTCCTTAAGTGTTTCCAGGGATAACTGTTCTTCTGGCGTAATTTAGTACCCACCGAGGTGCTAGAGCTTAAAGCCCACTTTGTGGAAATGAGAGGCTCCTACCTAGCTTGCTTCTGCAGCCATATGGCTGAGGGCAGGCAAAACTTGGGGGCATCCAAACCCCAAGACTCCAGGCTTGGGCCTGCACATAGGATACCTGCCAAAAGACTTTGGAAATATTTGAAGCCCCTGGTGGGGGTGGAAGATGTTTGCCGGTTGTAGGGCCGCTTATGATTCTGGGCTGATTCACGGATTTGGACTTGATTTGGCTGGGAACATGAAACGTTTCTTTTAAAAAAATAAATAAATCAATCAATCCTGGAGCACAGAGCCTAGCTAGCAGCTTGAGTGTGGCTCTGGCCGGCTAGGCTACAGTTTTGTGTGGCGCACACTGATGCTTTTTTCTGGTGCGGGTTGTTTTTTTTACACCAGGATCTCCAAACGTCAAAAACAACCACTGTGCTGCAAATTCACAGTGCAATGACCACCTTTATGTGCAGGGCATGGGGTTTGCAGCAGCACAGATGTCCTTCCTACAACTCACAGCACACCCAGAACTTGGCCCAGTGTACCAAGACAGTTTGCTATCCTACATGTGACACCACCAATACAAATATAATAACAAGGAAAAGATTGAGTAAGCCATTGTCAGCCTGCATCCTGGAGAAATCTTACACAGCCACCAAAGAACACATCCCCCTGAACAAGCCAGACACTGCAGCCAACCAAAATACATCCAGCATATTCACTGGAGAACGGTATACACTGATAGGACTGAAGAATGACTTGAGCTCCTCAGTCTAATCAGAAACCATAGCTACAACAACCTATAATGACGTGATTGGGTCAGTGCCTATTTTCTTGAAAGGCAGTCTTTCCAGTGCCATTAATGACAATATTAAATGTGAGTGAATATTTGGTTGTCTAGGAATTATGATTCTAGACAGTGGTAACTAGAGGAAGCCTCCAAACAATTAGAATTGTAAGAAAAAAAGCAAATGTTAAGGGCTTGTTTTCAAGCCATTTGAACTCACATTAGTGCCAAGCAATTACTTGTAAGTGCTCAGAAAACCTGGATTCTGTGCCGTACTTTTAGGGAAGGTGACACTGTAGGCTTCATTCCAAACAGGAGACTGGATCCTCTAGTTTTAAGTACAAGTCTAAACTCAGCTTTCATTGTGGGGCTGCAGTGGTTCCTCTGTAAAGGTAGGCAAGGAAAGGCAGTGGGAGAGAGTGTAAGGGCTGCAAGGAGCCTTTTCTTGCTCCTTGACCTCTGGGGCTCAGCCAAGATAAAATGCAACCACTAGCACTTGCAGTATTTGAAGTCAGGGCTGGGCAAACATCCGACGTGGCCACAGGAGCTGCAAGACTGAGGTATATGACCAGATTCCTACCCCTTGTTCACATGACTTCAGGAAGGAAACTTAGCAGTGAGGACCACTCTGCCTACACCACTCAGCAGGCATCCCATTGCTCTGCTGCTTATCCACACTTGCTAGTGGTTCATATCCCAGTTTCTTCTTTAACGTGGCTAATTTGCTCAAAGCCTAAGGCTCCCAAGTTAATTATTTCTTTAAACAGCCCTCTCCAAAACCTGGGCATGCAAATTTGGCAGTATGGATCCATAAAAAAGAGTTTGTCTTATCCAGATATTTTATGAAAGGTGGGTGGAAATGCCCACAAAAGAGTTCTGAGCACAAGTGGGGCAGGGAAGTGGTGTGGTAAACGGCAGATTGCTCACAGAATCATAGGAAATTAGGTTGGTAGGGACCTCAGGAGGTCATCTAGGCTAACCCCTAGGGGTGATGCGTAGGAGGTGCATGCAGGTGCACGTGCACCCCCTGAGCATGGCAGTGCACCCCCTACAAAAAGGCGCATCCTGCGGGCGGTTGCCACTCACCACCCTGCCACCGCCGGAGTCTGCAGGCAGCCCGCGATCCTCGATGGCTGCTGCCACCACTGCTGGCAGCGGCTGCGGGTGGTCACCAACCCTTGATCAGCACTCACCACCTTCCCCCCACACCCACCACTACTGGCTGCGTCTGCTGGAGCTGCCCTGCTTACCACTGCTGCGCTCCCACCACCGCGCTCCTGCCACCACCATGGCCCCCCCAACCGCCAGGCACATGAGTCGTTCATTGCCAACCCCCTGCTCAGAACAGGGCCATTCCCAACTAGATCATTCCAGCCAGGCTTTGTCGAGCCAGGCCTTAAACTCCAAGGATGGAGATTCCACCACCTCTCTAGGTAACTCGTTCCAGTGCTTCACCACCCACCTAGTGAGAAAGTTTTTTCCTAATATCCAACCTAAATTTCCTGTGGTGTAGCTTGAGACCATTGCTCCTTGTTCTGTCATCTGCCACCACTGAAAACAGGCTACCTCCATCCTCTTTGGAGCCCTGCTTCAGGTGGTTGAAGGCTGCTATTAAATCCCCTCTCAGACTTCTCTTCTGCAGACTAAATAAGCCCATTTCCCTCAGCCTCTCCTCATACTCAAAGGGGAAGACACTGTGGATCTGTAGTTGGCCTGTGAACTGCAGAAATTAGATGCCCCTACTTACCTACAGAATATGGTGGATGAAGGGGGGACTTTGGCCCTTGGCAAAGTACAATTTTCTGTAAATCATTTGAAGTCTGTGAACACAGCCTGCTGTGCGGAGAAAGGACTTTTGGTAAATTAAGACCTAAAATCTGGTCCAAATTTTCAGAAAGCATTGGCAAAACAAGTGACCACATTACAAGAGCCCAGTGAGCTTCCAGAAGGGGCTGACACCTCTCACCTTAGGCAGTGGCTGCTACAAGAAGAAAGACAAGGTTTCCAAGACCAGGAGAATCTGATGAGCAACAGGTACACAACATGGAATAATATATTCTGTATTGCTTTACAGAATTCCTTGAAGGATTGGGCATCATTATTTATACATGCTCCATTATCAAGTAATTAATTATCATTAAAATGATTAATGTTCCAGGAATGAATTGTGTGTGGAACATTGTGAAGTTAATGTAAATTCTTCAGATGTTAAATAAACAGTGATCCAGACAAAAATGATGGTAGTGCCAGCAATGTATAAGCAGAAATTTGATGTGAAAGATAGCCCCAGCTGATTCTTACCAGTCATTTACACTTTTCTTTAAAAGATATGTAGAGGCAATCAGTAAGGAACTGGAAAAAATTGAACACATCGCAAAAGAAAAACGTCGTCTCGAAGAGGCCAAACGAGAAAGAAAGCAATGTGAACAAAAGATAAAGAAACAAGTTCTCCTTTATAGAAAAATGGAGGTTAGAAACAAGACATATTGAAAGACAGTATAATTGTATATAACCTATATACCTTAAATAGGCAATTGGCACATATTTAACATTGCCAGCAGCCAATTAATTTACTAGAATGTCCCTAAAGATTTTGAAAAACTTGATGAATATGGCCCCAGTTTTGCGCACACTTATGCATGGTTTTAACAAAAGGCACATGAGTCTCACTGTGTTCAGTATTTAAGCCTGACAGACTTTTAGACTTCAACTTTCTTGACAAACATGCCCTTTGGGTGCATGAGTTTTACAGCTACCAGTCCTAGCACATGAAGCAGGGACTCGCAAACTGCGGTACGTGTACTGCTGGTGGTATGTAAGCTTGGTGTCCTATCCATTGACTTCATGTTTTTTTTAGACATTGGCATGCATGAACCAATAAGGTTCTAGAGCCACTGACTTAGACATCTGTGTAACTGTAGGTAAAATCCTGGCTCAAATGCAGTCAAAGGTAAAAATCCTATTGAATTCATCAAGTTAGAGTTTACCCTAATCTGTATCCACCAGTACTGAGAGTCTGAACAACGGGATTTGTGCTAATGACTGCTTGAAACAAATACAAATGGAATTTTTCTGAATACAAAATTCTTCCCACAAGGTGGGAGCATAGGCTCCATTAAAGAGCAACATCTGTGGGGTCACATCCAGGGTGGAATCAAAATGTGAAGGTTTGCAAGTTTATACAGGGCATGGGTAAAAACAAAGTCCTTATAAATAGTCATTCTGTTCTACTGTCAGCCCAACAATCTCACTGCTTTGCGTGGCAGTAAATACTACTCAATTTTTACAAAATTATTTCCCAAATGTGTTTCCATGGTAATGCCACTGAAATCAGTGACCTGATGCTAGCAATGAATTTGGCCAGTGTCTTCAAAATGTACCAATATCAAACAAACAAAAAATATCAGTGAAAGAAACAATAGAAAAAAAATATTATATATGCCCCAAAGAACTCAGCATACATCTTGTTGTTTCCTTTTGGTGCAATAAATTTGTGATGCTTAGGAATGGAAGACAGAAATGTTCCTGCTGCTGAGAATTGGAGAGGACTTGAAACGTGAAGCAAGAATTGCCGAATTCCAAAGGAAAAGAAGAGAAGAGAAAACTAAAAAGGTGCCTTCATTATTTCTGTTAAAATGCACATGCCTTGGTAGGAAGAACCTAAAAATTAAAACCACAAGAACAGTATCTAGAGGAGTTAACAGAAACAGTGTCCACTACAAAAATCCTTACCAGCTACCCATACTTGGAAACACTGAGGTCTTTGGGGTATGATACATACCTCCTCTGATAAAGATTGATCCACTTGTTCTGGTGGCATTTTGCAGGGTGGAGGGGGAAGAGTGGAGAATGAAGAGATGGTGTTAGGTTAAAAGTTTTGACCAAAAAAAAAAAAAAACGACCTGCATGGTGTTAAAATTCATCATATTTAAAATAATTTGTTTTGTACATTATAGTGCACTGTAGGAATTCCATGAATCTCATAGGAAGTCCTTTATGACTGGAGCAGCAATGTTTTTTTAACTTCCTTAAGAGCCTCTCTTGTGTTGAATCCTATCATGAGCTGAAGTTCTAAAAGACACTGAAGTCATTTTAATATCTAAGATATCTAATAACTGCTGCTGGGGGAAGCACAAAGTGTGAGCCAAAACAAGGGTGCAGAATGAGTTTCCCTGCCCCAAAACAAATACCGATTGAGGGTTTGCAAAGCTGCTGAAGAGGCATCAGAATGGGAATGGCAGCAGACTAAATAAAGCATTTTCAAGCACAGGGTATGTAGAAGATAGGGTATTCATTTGGTCAATGTTAAGGGAACAGTGTTACCAGCTTTGTGGAGATTTCTTTCTAAGGTACACTTGGCAACTTACACAGTTCATTATTTATTAGCATGGGCAATAGCAACAGAAGGATAATTCGGAGGAGATCAGGTTGCCTGATCTCCTCCAAAGAACTTTAAAATTAGGCTCAACGGGAGTCAGGGAACCGGTGGTCAAAGAGAGCCCAGGGTTGGTAAACCACAAACAAGATGCCAGATCACACCAGGTAAGTATTAAGCACGCTAGCAGGGAGAGAGAGATTGCAGAAGGATCTGGATAGGTTACAGGGGTGGGCAAACAGGAACAGGATGTGTTTCAATACGGACAAGTGCAGGGTGCTGCACTTGGGTAGTAGGAACCAGCAGCACACTTATACGATGGGGAACTCCCTACTTGAGAGCACGGAGGCGGAAAGGGATCTTGGTGTCATTATTGACTCCAAGATGAACATGGGCCGACAATGCGAGGTCATGGTTGGCAGGGCTAACAGGACCTTGTCGTGAACATTCCTCCATCACAGTCTTGATATTGGGTTACAGGCTGACCATGGGCTGCCCTATGCACTGCTGCCATCTGATACCAGGAAGGCTAACGGAACCTGCAGAGCAGATTACAGGGGGGGTCATGGAAAAAGGACTTGGTTGTGGGGGTCTACTACAGGCCTCCTCAACAGGATCAAGAGCTAGACAATGTATTCTCCGGGCAGCTAGCAGACGTCACACAGGCGAGGGAGGCAGTGGTCACGGGTGATCTAAACTACCCAGATATCTGCTGGGAGGAGCAGACAGCCAAAACAAGCTGCTCATGGAGGTTCTTACACTGTGTGCAGGACTTCCACCTAACCCAGGTGGTGTCTAGTCCCACCAGGGGTAGCGCCTTGCTTGACCTGGTCTTAGCAACAGGGGGTGATCTCGTGGGGAACATGCGAATTCATGGTAGCCTGGGAGATAGTGACCATCACTTGGTCGAGTTCACTATCCAGTCCCTTCTGATTCTACAATCTATGAATTATAGGTGTACCATAACAGAATTATATGAACTGACGTATGTCTAAATGTAGTCAAAAGTATGAATTTGCCAGGGTACCAATTAGATTGTAAAGTCAAGCTTTAACAAACCAGATTTGCTAATTCAGAGCCCCCTCTCCAGCCCTGGCCCAAGCCCTGCTGTGCAAGTGCCCCCCCTTCCCCACCAGGCCCACACAAATCACCGACACACAGGTGGGAAAGGGGGGTAGCAGTTCCTCCTGCCTCGGGCTTTTTGACTGTCTACTTAGCCAAGCAGAAAAGTTTCAGCTACCTAAATTATATAAAACAAAGAGAAATGCAATCAATGAAATTGTCTCACCGCTTTTTCTTGATCCTGGTAATCCATGGAATAAGGGGGAGACTGTCCACGCTATCTAGTCCAAAAGTCAGGTACCAAGTATCGTGCATCTTTATAGGCTGAGAAAGTCTGAAGTACCTCTCAATGACCTCAAACTTTTTTTCTGAAATGCTGAGGAAAGATGGTCATTGTGTTTGGGGGGTTTTTGTTTTATCTGACACTTACGAAGAAGCCCCAGATTTCTGCTCTTTCTGTTTTCCTGGTGTTTCCATCCGTGTAACAAGATTTCTTTGATTCTTCTATGGAGATTTTAAGTTTTCATTCATTTGAAAGACCGTAGTTCTGTGTTGACTCACAAAATTAATGAGAATTCCCTCTTCAGAAATAATTTCCTATTAATCTTCCACTATTTCTTTTCTTTATGTAACAGTTCATATCATTACCAGAATGCAGCTACAATTCAAATAGAAAAGAATCAAGTGTATTTCCTTTTAATATGAGACATATTCTAAATGGTTTTGATGTAGAGATTGCATCAGATTTCATAAAGGCAGGCAAAAGAACAGTTTCTAGTCTGAAATGTAAGGAAAAATTATTTAGATGTTAGCAGCACCAATAAGTTTGACTGTCCCAACTTCAGTTGCCTTAGGTCAGAGAGCAGGCTATTTCTAACCAATTTAAACCATCTATTTCCCATTTTAACACTACAACTGGTTTCTTTATAACTTGATTCATTGTAATCTATCAATCTCCATATAAAGCATGCCTATAGACTTTTCTATATATAGACAAACTCCATATAAAGCAGGCCTTTAGAGCTATACAAACACAAAGGGTATTTATACACATGCTTGGGGAGGAGGGCAGGGCAAGGGCTCTTTTATTAGAGCAGCTCTGAGAGACAGTCTAAATAAAGCATCCCAAGTGTCTCGTGTATCAGCATCCCTGCTCTTAAAAATGGTGGCGGGGGACCTTTATCTAAAGCGCGAATGCAGTAATTACCATGCTCTAGTAGACTTGATTGATGTAATTACAGTGCATTGGAGCAGCCTCGTTGTCTGTGTATAGATGCCCAAAGTAACTACTTCTGTGTATGGAAATGTATACAAGATTCTTGACGTGGTAGGGAAAAGTAATTTCCAGTTTATAATTGTTGGGAAATTCAGATTCTGAATTCAACTTACACAGGTTTCTTACAAATAAGAAGTCCATTTGTTGAAATTGGATTTTGTCATCTGTTTTTCTGTTTCCTAAATGGAATTGGAACTGAAGAGGTGCTTTTTAGGGAAGAATAATTTGGGTTGAATTTTCCTGTCTCTATTAATAGTGACAGATTAAGTCATTTTTTATTTGAAAACTAGAAGCAGTCATAGGTATTCATGATTGTTAATAAAACCAAAGCATATTTTATATCTACATATGTTACACTGATAGCTAATATATTTAATTATGAAATATTAGAAAAGTATGAACTGAAACATTATCAAAATATCATTGCGTTCAAGATTGTTCTTTTGTTCTTGAGATCAGGAAACTTATGTTAAATACCTAACATTTTTCTTTAATTCTGTAGAAGAGAGTATTGCTAGAGAAAAAAATGGCATACCACCTGAGGAAACTGCAAGAGCATTCTTATCAAAGTGTAGCATTTGAAAGTCCTGTAAAGAGCCTGGACAAGCTTTTATCAGAAAAACTACAGATTAAAAATGAAGGTATCTATAAGACAATATATGTACAGTCTTCTGCCTTTGCCTTGCATGCCAGGTCTGCAAATGTGGTTACTTCTCACTTCCAAAGCATCCATCTTCTCTGAAGTCCCTTGTAAAGAATTTCCCTCCTTTTACATCTAATTCTGCATTTCTCACAAATATAGGAATCATACAATTCATGGCATAAACTCTTTCTAGCATTCTACTCTCTCACATTTCTTTTGTGTAGCAACAAGATATTTAAAATGATATATTGATGTTTTTCCATCCTCTAGAAGAATGCGCAGTCGGCCCCTCTTGTCCATCTTCTGTTCTCAGTGGAAACGATGTTAGGAAAACTTCATTCTCTTCACTAACATTGGAATATGATTTAATGCAGAAAAACAGAGGTTCTTTACAGGTATGAAATTCATCACCCACGCAAGTCTTGAACCTAAAATAAAAGTGACATAATGATACATATCTAAAAGACATATTGTTTCATTCAGAGTTTAAAGCCTGAAAGTCTAATTAGATCACCTAGTCTGGTCTTCACTATGACAGGCCATCCAGTTTGACATCCAATCAGCATGGATTTATTAGGGGAAGCACAAAGTGTGAGCCAAAACAAGGGTGCAGAATGAGTTTCCCTGCCCCAAAACAAATACCGATTGAGGGTTTGCAAAGCTGCTGAAGAGGCATCAGAATGGGAATGGCAGCAGACTAAATAAAGCATTTTCAAGCACAGGGTATGTAGAAGATAGGGTATTCATTTGGTCAATGTTAAGGGAACAGTGTTACCAGCTTTGTGGAGATTTCTTTCTAAGGTACACTTGGCAACTTACACAGTTCATTATTTATTAGCATGGGCAATAGCAACAGAAGGATAATTCGGAGGAGATCAGGTTGCCTGATCTCCTCCAAAGAACTTTAAAATTAGGCTCAACGGGAGTCAGGGAACCGGTGGTCAAAGAGAGCCCAGGGTTGGTAAACCACAAACAAGATGCCAGATCACACCAGGTAAGTATTAAGCACGCTAGCAGGGAGAGAGAGATTGCAGAAGGATCTGGATAGGTTACAGGGGTGGGCAAACAGGAACAGGATGTGTTTCAATACGGACAAGTGCAGGGTGCTGCACTTGGGTAGTAGGAACCAGCAGCACACTTATACGATGGGGAACTCCCTACTTGAGAGCACGGAGGCGGAAAGGGATCTTGGTGTCATTATTGAGTCCAAGATGAACATGGGCCGACAATGCGAGGTCATGGTTGGCAGGGCTAACCGGACCTTGTCGTGCATCCACAGGTGCATCTCGAGTAGAGCCAGGGAGGCGATCCTCCCCCTCTATGGGCCCCTGGTCAGGCCGCAGCTGGAGTACTGTGTCCAGTTCTGTGCGCCCCATTTCAGGAGGGATGTGGACAACATGGAGAGGGTCCAGAGGAGGGCCACCTGCATGATCCGGGGACAACAGGGCAGACCCTACAGTGAGAGACTGCAGGACCTGAACCTATTCAGCCTCCACAAGAGAAGGCTGAGGGGGGACCTGGTGACCGTCTATAAACTCACTAGGGGGAACCAGAAGGGTTTGGGGGAGACGCTGTTTCCCCTAGCCCCCGCTGGCATAACAAGGAGTAATGGGCACAAGTTGACGGAGAGGAGGTACAGATTGGACATCCGAAAAAACTACTTCACAGTTAGGGCGGCTAGGAGCTGGAACCAACTTCCAAGGGAGGTGGTGCTGGCCCCTACCCTGGGGGTCTTTAAGAAGAGGCTGGATGCCTACCTGGCTGGACTCATTTGAGTCCCATTTTTGTTTTTAGGGTTTTTTGTTGTTCTCCCGCCCTGGCGGGGGGTCGGGCTAGAAGATCTATTAGGTCCCTTCCGACCCTAAAACTATGAAACTATGACACAGTTAACTCTGCATGGAAACCAGGATCTTGTGTTTAGATAAAGCATATCTCACAGACCTCAAGAGATTGGAAATCCATCACTACCTCTGGTAGTTTTTTCTCCTGGTTCAACACGCTTACTGTAAAAAACTTGTGCTCAGCTTCTTATATGAATGTACCTGGATTGAGTTTCCAGCCATTGGCTCTTTCTCGACTTTTTCCACCAGTTTATGGGGCCCAGTAGCACCCAGTATTTTTCCCTGTGGGGGAAAATACCCTATAAGCAAGTCATGTCTCAATCTCCTTTTGAAGTGAAACAGACTGAGCTTTTTAAGTATTTCCCTGTCTGGCATTTTCTCCAAACTTGAGCCTTTTTCTGGTTCTTTTCTGTGACCTCTCCAGTATTTCAACAATGCTCAACAGATGTTGAATGGATATTCAACAATGTAGAAAACAGAACAAGGATGCAGTATTCCAATACTGTTCTCATCAATGTCATCTACAGAGGCAACAATCACCTCAACCCTGTTCATTACTTTTGCACTTATATGTTGAAGGATTGCTTGTCCCAATTGCAGGAATTTATACTTTGTCCTTACTGAATTTTATTTGGTTAATTTTAGACCATTTCTCTAGTTTATGAAAATAATTCTGAATTATAATCCTATTTTTCCAGCATGTCTGCAACCTACCAGCTTGATACAATTTGCAGATTTGCTAAGTGTACACTCAATCCCATCTTCCAAATCATTAATTTAGATATTGAACAATGCCAGACCCAGGACAGACCCCTAGGGAACCCCACTTGATACCTGCTCTTATTCATTAGGTCTTAGAATGTCCTCTATATAATGACATAAAAAATAAAGTATTTATCACCATTCTTGCAGAAACTAACATACTTCTCAAATAGAGAGAAATTAATATGGCTCCTCCAGCAAACAGATTCATATTTAGTAAACCATCTTGGAATTTTTGCTTACAAAGCTGAAGCAATCAGCATTAAACATCCTTTACTGTTGATACGACAGATACATTTTATCACTATATTTGTTTTTACTGTCTTGTGGACCTATTCACAATATTTTTATAGATTCATGATCTGATTTATCACCATATTTGCACTTGATTATGTTAATTTTAGGAGTAGGAATAATGCTTTTGTAATGCTCAACCCTATTTTATTATTATATTTGCATTTCTGTTATTTGTTTACATTTATATTATGTTTGTATGTCTGTTATGTTGTTTTTGGGAGCATGACTTTCAGCCAGAATCCTTAATAAATCAAACTGAATTGAATGAATAGCTGCTCCCAATTAGACATTGATGACTATTCCATAAACATGATGATTAAGGTTTCTTTTACATATTTAATTTTGCAGAAAGACTCAGATTGTAGTGAGATGCATTTGGACAACAGCCTAAGTGGGAAATGTGAGACAGGTAAGCATTGAGCTATCCTAGCTATAGCCCTGAGCTGGATATTACTGTGGCTTTGTACATGGGGTTACTGTAACAACAGGAGTGAAGGCTGCATGGATCTTTCTATTATACCCTTATTTTGCAGTAGCTCATAGCTTCTCCAAACTTTTGGGTTGAAATTCTTGCTTATGCTAGACACTAAAGTTTTAAACCTTACACCAAAAATAGCTGGGCTGTTTTCAAGGACAAAGCAAATTAAATTATATTTTTTGCTATTTATCAACGTTTCTAACCTTTTAGAAAACTTTTGCACCTTGGCTAGAAATAGAGCTCTGTCCTGCTGTCCTGCAGACAGTTTGCAGGCTCTGTACTTGAAATCATACAGCCTAAGCTCTAGTCACTTGTCTCCTAGGAGTTGCTCTGGAATTGTGCAGATCACAGAATTAAATTTAGCGGTGAAAACAGGAGGCAAGAACAGGTTTGTAACTTAAGTAATTTAGAATTGAATGGCAGAACTGGAAACAGAAGCCATGTCTTTAAAGTGATTTACCAACAGCTCATCAATTAGACCAGTGGAATATATTTCCTATTTACATATCCCACTCTGTTGTTATGTATATAAAAACAGAACTTCCTATCGACTCCTACCCAACTTTGCAAAATACTTTGAGCTGTAAAGTTGAAAAATCAATAGCAGGGTGCAAATGCTAAACATCATGACTGGGCAAAATTTTCCAGCAAAAGCAGCTCAGCACTTCAGGTGGAAGGCACCAGTGAATTGTAACTCTGGTTCTAGGGCCCAACCTTTCCTCCACAACAGTTTTGTTAGGACCTTGTGGTAAAGTTTGCAGGTTGGTCAGTGTTTGTGTTATCACCTATGTACGATGGTTCTCCTTCTGCGTGCCCAACTTCCACCATCAGTTCTGAGACCCCCTCCATGCACTGTGGAAATGCAACTGCACGTAACTGCATGGAAGTTCCCATTCACAACAATCTCTCAATACTCTATTAGCCCCATGAAAACTTGCTTTAAAAGGTGGATCTCATTGTAATATGAAGATAATTGTGGAACAGGTAGTTGATGGCAAGTATAGAACAAGGACGGGTTCTCATTTAGGATCAAAACACTACAATTGACTCCTGTGCGGAGAGTCCAACACCAGGCTACTCGCCATATGAGTGCTGAGGATTTCAGTGGCATTGGAGCACTGAGCCTTCTAGACCAGAGGTTCTCAATCCCTGGGCCTCAGTCCGGTGCCAGTCCATGGCGGATCAGCTACCGGACCGCGGCGGGTCAGCTGCCAGACCGGAAGTGGCTGCGGATCGGCAAACTGTGGCACCCCAAAGCCAGGTGGAGAGGCCACAGCTCCTTGTGCAGGGCCCACAGCAGTGCAGGGTCTGGCCCACCCCCCTGCCCCGGGGTGCGGGTATCCTTACCCGTCTGCTGGCTGGAAATTCTGGCCACAGTCAGCTGCGATTGCTGGGCTGGGGTTTGACAGGCTGTGACATAAAAAACTTTGAGAACCCCTGGTCTAGACCATGGGCTGGCTTTTTTCAGTGGGTGAAGCACACCCAGACACATGTATTGTGCTGCAGAGAAGTCTTGGCTGCCGTCTGTCACTAATGGCCTTGTTGCATATTAATTTTAAGCAGTTCCTAGACCTCTTAACTTCCGGATTGTCCACACATTAACACTGAAACTAGTTTTACACACACTTTAGGTGGCTTAAATTTATGCCATTCTAGGGCAGGTTTCTCTCTGATCCATGTTACTTAGCTCGTGTTCCATTAATGTGCGGCCATTTCCAACAGACGAGCTGCCCAAGTTGCAGTCCTCCAGCATCCCAGGATGCAGTGTTCCCTCCCCCACCTTCCTGTTCTGAGTGGACAAACTCTCTACCTCATGAACACTACTACCTGGGGAGAAGGGTTCTGGCACCAAGCCAACTCCCCCCACCCACCTCTGGGAGTGTGACTACCCCCAGGGGTGCAACAGCAAACAGCCTGCAGAGTACATACCGGTTAGCCAAGTCACAAAGCATGGATGGGTCCAAGAGTGAGGAACAATGAGAGCAGGGAAGTGGACATCAAGGCTGGATCAGGTCCCAATGAGCTGAGGCTTCCTTCCCAGGACAGGGAGAGTAGATCTGCCAAAAGTGCCTTCCCTCACTGCTCCCCGCTCCCAGCCATCCTGGAAAGCACGGCCAACACCCCTCATACTCCAATCCTAAATACCAGTTTATTAAAACATGAGACCTTCTTTAATTTACTTCCTCTTTATTTTATTTATTTACTTTTGCTTCTTTTTATTTTATCCTGTAGTGGCTGACTTCCTTCTTTTTACCATTCCACCCCCATTTCCTTTCCACCTCCCATTTCAGTACCCAGTCCTAGACCATTAACTCTCTGCCTCCCAGATTCATGTTCCCACCCCCACCCAAGCTTGTCCTGGCTCACCAGCCCTGTAGTGGCCATTCACAGCTGTAGCTCCTAGTCCTGCCTCTTGCTCACCAGCCCTCTAGTGACAAGTCACAGCTAGGCAGGTGGGGGACATTTTTTCGCCTTAAGGTGTGACTGCTCCAAACTCAAGCTAGCACTAACACTGGTCAGCATTGCAGCAGCTCAAAGTGCAATGTGTAATATGGCCCTAAGTTCCTAGTGAACAGAACTGCTTTGTTATTAATTGAATTCCTGTTTTTAAATACCAAGGGGGCTCTGCAGCACAGATCAAATGAAAAGAGTGCTAAAGTTGCAAGAGAAGCAGCCCATACTTCATATCTGTATTTTTGGGGACACAAAGATCTGTTTTTCCTTGACTGTATAGACTGGTTAATTTAACCTGTATCACTACCCCAATTACACAAATAAAACCATAGAAAAGTTCTTAGCTTTTCCTTCTGGCCTGACAGTAAAACCAATACATTCCTTTAGGGATGTTTAAAGATAGAACAGATCAATGAAATAACAAATTTCCTCAATTTCCCTTAAGTAAAAAACCAGATGAGCAAAGCAATAACCTTTGCCTCTGTACCTCAGGCCCCGAATACACCAGCAGCAGCAGTGGCAATGCCATCAACCTGAATCCCAGAGAAAACAGCGAATGCAAAAACAGTGGATGTGAAAACAGTGGATGCGAAAACAGCGGAAACATTGGCAATTGTTCCACCTGTGCCTCCAGGGAGTGCTGTGAAGCAGCAAACAGTACGACCACCAGCAAATTCTCTGTTTCCTCCTCTGGTAAGTGGCCCTCCACTATGGAAGGGAGCCATTCATTCATTCAATATACTATCTTCCCCCAAGGTTCATAGTGTCTTACAATAAAAAACAAGATAAATGATAAAAACATTAAAATATTAAAATAGTATGAAACTAGCAAGTCCTCAGACAGCGTCTCAGACCTTAACCTAACTTGCTAAATGCCTACCCAAACAAGGAGGTCTTACATCACTTCCAGAAGATGTCCAGGCTTGGGCTCGGACAAGCCTCAAGGGGGAGGCAGTTCCAGAGTTGAGGAGCAACTTCTAAAAAGAACCTTCAACATGTGCACCAGGTCTGTTTTGTAGCGACAGGTGGTACCTGCAGGAGGTTATTTTGGGCTGACCTTAGGGATTGTGATGGAATATAAAGGAGGAGGCAATCCCTTAGGTATCTAGGGCTGAGGCTGTTTTAGGGCTTTACAGGTCAAAACTGGCACCTTTGGTTGCTTCCAGAAAGCTCTTGGAAGCTAGCACAGACTCTGAAGCACAGAAGTAAATTGCTCCTGGTGACCCACATCCATCAGAAGACAGGCTACCCCTGCAGCTTCTGGGTGGCCCTCTAGGGCAGCTGCCATCTATACCAGGGCTGTGACTGGAACAAATTTAACATTGGAACCCCAATCCTGACATCTGCACTGGCACTTGTAATTGTACCCAACCAAATTGGCCTTATATTTCCTGGTGTAAGTTCTAAAAAGTTCCAGGCGTGTCTAACAAACTGGGAGATATAGATATTCCAAAACCCAGAGGTGATCTCATATTGGGCCATTTTCCTCAGAGGTTGTGTGTTAAAGTCTGCTTTTCCTATATGATAAAACAGCTCCTCATTCTTTACACTGCATGGCATAGTTTGCTTTTTCCACTTAACTTCTGAAAGACACAAAAGGGTGATACAGACTTCCTAAGCTGTGCACAGAACATACAGAGGGTTAAAGAATTGGCATTCAGCTGGAGATTTCCACAAAAGTAGTAAAGAGGAACATGAGTGATGCTCTCATATTTGAGATTCAAAAAGATAGAAGGAGGAGCCAAAGGCCTCATTTTGTAGAAGTTAAATTATTAAGGCTATTTCATTTGAAACAAGATAAATAAAAGGGGTCATGACAGGGGCACTAAAATGAATGAATGAGACCAAATGTGTCATTCAGTTGCTCCTGTGCATTGATGATGATGAAGATAAGCACCACTGACACTTCCCCACCTCTAATCCCGGAGGTACTCAGCTGGAAAGGAATATACAATCATCTTTTGGGTGTCCCCAACTCTCAGAGGTGATACTGGGGCCTATTGAAAAATGGAAATGCCTCTGGGCCCAACCCTTAGGATGAGAAGGCAGTGGCTTATTAATGCAGGAACTTGGAGACAGCTTTCAGTTAGTAAGTAAGGTATTTTCTCCATTAGTTCAGTATTGACTCCAGGAGTTAGTCCTTGTCCATCTGAGAAAGTTTTACAGTTTAAGCAAAACTAAAATAAATTACTCTTAAATCCAAATAAGAGTTTCCACAGGTGTCAGGAGTGGTTTGTTTGCCTGAAGTCATTTGATGTTACAGATTTAATTTCTGTCAAAACTAGTATTTCAAAAAGCAAAGTACAACTCAAAGAAGTTCATAGAAGCAAAAAATAAACAACAAAATGTTAATTGTTGTAGTATAGGGTAAACATTTTATTGCCACTTGATTTATGAGTCTTTTGTAAAACTCACGATTGTTCCATGTTTGAACTGCATGTACCAATAGATCTTATGGTTCATGACTTTGGTTCTGACACACACACACACACAGTAATAATATTGGTTCCTCCGTTTGTGACTTAAGTAATGTATTTGTCCTAAACTCATGGAAGTAAACTCTTTTTAGCCCCACAATGTTTAAAAATAACCTTGCACTTCTATATTACATATATATTTAATACTACATAATTTAATATTATATATGATATATAAATATAATTTTTTCCTCAGGGGTTAATCTATCTAGTCAACCACCAGGTGATGGACCTTTACCCTCTTCAGTGGTCTCTCAACAGAGCTCTGAAATTGCTAATGATATCACACACAGGAAAAGAGCATCTTACCAGGTAGAACGTCATTGCACAGACAGATCTAATGGGTTGTTGGATGTGCGTAACTGTGTTCCATGTACTGAAATCTATTAAACAGGAGTCACAAGGTGGTATTGTTACATACAGTCTTGCATTTTCAGTCCTTGAAGAAATACTGTATTAGTTTTAGTTTTATGATGCATCATTTTTAGGGGGAATTATTACAAGGAGCAAGAGCTTGCTTTCTGTCCTAGTCTCTCTAATGGATCATATCTTGAGGCATTACTAACCAGCAGTTTCTGAAATGGGGCTTGCTCACGTGCTGTTTGTTACCATTTTTAGTTGACAATTCATTTATATTGGGTAAATAAGCAAGTTACATTAATAATATAGAATCAAAGAATCATAGAAAATTAGTGGAAGGGACCTCAGGAGGTCATCTAGTTCAACACTTTGCTCAAAGCAGGACCATCCCCAACTACAACATCCCTCCCAAGGCTTTGTCTATCTGGGTCTTAAAAACCTCCAAGAATGGAGATTCCACAAACTCTCTAGTCAACCTGTTTCAGTGCTTTACTACCCTCCTAGTGAGAAAGTTTTTCCTACCTAACTTAAACTTCACCTGCTGCAACTTGAAACCATTGCTTCTTGCTCTATCATCTGGCACCACTGTCCACAGAGAACAGTTTATCTCCATCCTCTTTGGAGCCCCTCTTCAGGTAGCTGAAGGCTGCTATTAAATCCCCTCCCCGTCTTCTCTTATCCAGACTAAATAAGCCCAGTTCCCTCAGCCTCTCCTCACAAGTCATGTCCCCCAGTCCCCTAACCATTTTTGTTGCCCTCTGCTGGACTGTCTCCAATTTGTCCACATCCTTTCTGTAGTGGGGGCCCCAAAACTGGACATGGTACTCCAGATGTGGCCTCACCAGTGCTGAATAGAGGGGAAGAATCACTTCCCCTCATCTGCTAGCAAAGCTTCTACTAATGCAGCCCAGTATGCTGTTAGTCCTCTTAGCTACAAGGGCACACTCTTGGCTCATGTTCAGTTTATTATCCACTGTAACCCCCAGGTCCTTTTCTGCAGAGCTGCTGCTTAGCCAGTTGATCCCCAGCCTGTACCACTGTACACTGTATACTCACATTCCTCACTGCTGATTCCTCTCCCAGTAGAAAGGAAGCCTGCAAGCCCCCTCCATTTATTACTGTTTGGCTGAAGGTTGATAATATGTTCTCCAAAAAGGTACTTAGCTCAATAGATCTGCAGTTTGTGGATTTTGTGCACTTGAACCCTGACAGATCAGATAGGATTGAATCAAACTCTGAGATATTAAAGTGTAATTCCACTAGCATCTTCCAGTGATGTCAGAGGAGATAATCTTGATGTGAACAGGGTGCCAAGCTAGGTATTGTTCTGAAAATATTTTGAAAATCTTCCAGCCCATTCGTAGCTTTCAGGAACAACCCTATGAAGGAATCTTTTTCTATTCACTGTGTGCTCAGACTTCTTTGTTAGCTGGTGAATACCTAATTCTAAGGCTTCTTGGCAATGGTACTATCTAGACAATAGGTCTGATGACCATGTTCCATTGCTGCAATTTTCAAGGTTGCTGGGAAAGAAGCTGTTAACTCTCCTCTGGGAGTATGGCAAAGATAAAGAGGATCTGAGAAGAAACAAGTTCAAACTTCATACTCTACTTTTACTATCTGTTGGGTTTCCTTCTCACAAGACACTATTTAGGAACAAAGTCATTGCCCTTTTTTTTTTTCCCCTCTGGAGCAATAGAAAGGTCTCCAGATCAGTATCAGGTCAGCTGCTTTATTCACAGCATTTTCTTACTTATAAAAAGGAATGGTCTTTTCAGACTCAGAACATCAATAGATTTCTGTGAAGGACTTGAACAGAAACATTTATGAAAATATTCCTGCACTCAAGACAGCTCTTTCACTCTTTTATGCCATTCAATTCCTGTACTAAACTCAAACTTTTTCTAAAATATTGTAGGAACAAGAAGTGCTAGAAAACAACATGGCATTAACATTGCAGGAGAATGATTATCAACAGAAAGAAAATCATGAAGATCTGTATACGCCATTATCTGAATCCCAAGAGACTGTAAATCAAGGTATATGTAAAGTATAGAAGAATACATACATTATCTGATAGCTGGGGAGGCTAGGATCTGAACCTTTTTCCCAGTGCGGAGCACATGGTGAGAGACGGACCAAAGTCAATTTTAAAAAAGCACCATTTTTAAGGCAGTGTAACCAAAGCCAGATGCAAAAACCCTTCTTTATTTCCTCGCCCTTCCCTTCATGCTTCCCAAGCTGGATGGGGAGGCATTTGAAATTAACTTATTCATTTTCTTTTTCTCAGGTGATAGTGAAAACAGTCCCTCTAGGCAACTTTCACTTCTCAACAAACTATTAACTACAAAAACTTCACTCTCTTCAGTAACATCTGAACATGATTATGACACAATACAGAGGAGGAGCAGAGGATCTTTACAGGTATGAAGTCATCACCAGTACAGTCTCCAGTAGAAAAAAGATGTCATCATGTTAGGGCTCTGGACATATTTCATGTCTAAAAGATGTGTCAGATAATGCTCTGAGATCTCCCATCCCAGAGTTCAGAGCCTCTAATGCCTGCGACATGACAACTTGCACTTTGATTCTCAAGCTTTTGGTAAGCAACCCTCATCTAAACCCCTGAGTTTGGTTAGGAGTAGATGCTCTGCTAACTTTCACTGGGCAAATGCTCCTGTGAGAGTTGGACAGATTTGAAATCCCAGCCTCTGCGGCTTCTTTTTTTTCCAAAGGAAACAAGGAAGCCAGATGCTGTTTTACATGACTAACCCATGAATCCCATTTCCATGCGACTGATCTAAGGTTGGGCAGGAGAATCACTAACACAATATTGTTTCTTTTGCATGTTTTATGTGGCAGAAAGACTTAGATGCTATTGATGAAAAAGATGTGTACAGAAAGCCAAGCAAAGAATGTGAAGTGGGTAAGCACCGAGTTCTCAGTTAAAGCATAGTGTTTAATGTCACTGTAGTAATATATGATTACCAGCACTTCCAAAGTGTTACTATTTTCTTAAGCTTCTTGCAGAGGGATTCCCAAATTGGTAGTAAGGAATAAAGAGCAATCAAGACTACCGCTCTTTTTATATCTTCCAAACATGGTATGAGGGAATTGTGCTGAAAAGGAGCCACTTCCTTCTAGACAGTTCTTTCCCTGTGCACAAGAGAGATGCATGTGCCAAACTGTCACCCATAAGACCTGGCCATTTAGGACTATATCTATGCCAAATTATTATGTCTTTTTTTTTTATTGCCATCATTTGTAATTGTAACCTTCCGTGTGGATCAGCGCATCCATAATGGAGCAGAGGCTCAATATTCATTGGACGAAGCATTGAAGGGCCATCCACAAAGCTTTGCCATACATCTACAACTCTCTAGTGCTTTGTAAGAATAAAACATTCATGCATAAGAAATTCCTTTGCCAAGACAGTGCTTCTTGCCATACTGTCAAGGTATCCTTGAAGGGGGTAACTAAGGGCGCTGACAGACATGCAGGCCCCTACTCCAACTCATGTTACTTTACATAGAGCACCATGAGTTAGAGCACCCCTCCCCAACCCAAAATACATTCACCTATTGAGTGAGGGTGGGGATGGGGGGGGGTGATTGAGTCTGCCTGCAGGAGCCCAATGAGCCTGCCTGCAGCCGAGCTGCTCCCACCTACCCACCTCCCTCAGTACCGTGGCTGTCATCAAGAAGGGAGGAGAGAGGGGGAACAAGCTGCCAGCTGGGGTTTGCCTAGCCTGAGCTGGAGGAGGGACAAGTGGATTGTTGCCCATCCCCACACCTCAAGACAGGCAAACCCCAGTTGGCATCTCACTCCTCCTTGCCCCTCACTCTTCCCTTCCTGCTCCCACTCTCCCCTCCCTGCTGACAGCCCCAGGGGTGGGGCTGGGCTGATGCAGCACAGCCCCCCATCACATGACAAGTTACCCCTAGGGAACACAAGTTCCCTAAGGAGATCCAAAGTGGAGCACCTTCATTTGATTTTTCATTTAATGAGGGTTAATTTGTCACATGATCAGCCACTTTAAAAGTGCTCTGCAGTCATGAATGTGCATCATGGCATGGTTGTAGACCACTTTCAGGGAGCTGATTGCATGACAACATAACTTCTGTCTGCACCCTAAGAAACCAGACCTCTTGCCACCAGATGGCCTTTTGGTGACTAATCAGCTGGGGGTTCAGGCTGGGTGCGGCACTGGATCCAAGGCTTGGAAACTGAACTGTGTGGGGTTCCACTGGCCGAGAAGTGTGTCAGATAGCAGCTCCACACCTGTGAGTGCCTAAGATGCCCAGACCCAAATTCCCTAAGACCACAGAGGATTCAGTGATTCAGTCCAATTATAGTGGACTTGTGTCCATCCAGAGTGCCAGGTTATCACAATATGTCTGTCTGTCATGAGGATATGGGTAAACAGCTCATTTTATTTCAAAGAGGTAACTGAAACTAAAGGAGGGGAAAGGGACACAGAGAATGCCAGAGTTAACAGAAATTGCAAAGTGGTATGGTAGGAAATAGACCTGTGTTGCTACCTTATTAAGATAAACATCACTTGTGTGTTACTTCTTTCCTGTGTAATGCATTCCCCCACCTTTATTTGCATTCTGTCTGCTGATACATCCTAAGCAGGGCAAGGAAGGATTTGAAGTTATTTATTGATTTTTTTTCCAGGAGACAGTACAGTCAGTTCCTCTTGTCAACCTTCATTTCTTAATGAAACAGTTCATACAAAAACTTCAATCTCTTCAGTAACACCTGAACCTAATTACAACCAGGTCAGGGGGAAGAACAGAGGATCTTATCAGGTATTAAAAGAGGAAACTGAAAGGGTCATCATATTGAGGTGTTTAAGTAGGTTTTGTGGCTAACAGGTGTGTTGTTCAGAGATAATGTTCCAAGCATTCCCACCCCTGAGTACTGAATTTCTGATACCTGGCAAAGAACAGCTCTCAAGCTTGAATTTTGGTAGGCTGCCTAATTCTCAAAGCCAAGTTTTCTGGGCTATTAACTTTTGTTGTGCTCAAATGTAGCCATAAATAAAGTGACTCCAGCCACAGGTGTAGCAACAGTGCTGCCATGCTGGTCAGTACTGAATCTATTTCAACATAAAGTAAAACTAAGAATTAGTTGCCATTGTCAGGTTCAACAAACAAAAAGTTATGCTTAAATTCCCGTGTGCACCTTCAAATATCTCAACTCAAATGACCTCCAGTGAGTGAGGGCTTTTAGAAGACTTAGGTACATTTGAATATCCCAAAGCTTGTGAAGTTTGCAGTTTAGTCGCATTGCTAAAATATTCATTTTTTTCCTTTTATGTATGTTTTTGCAGAATTACACAGGCAGTATTGATAGGAACAACTTGAACAGAAATCAAAGTGAGGAATATGCACTGGGTAAGTACTGGGCCGTTTCTACTACAGTATGCGATTTAATATCTCTATGTCTTTAGCCATTACCGGTAGCTGGAAGTATAAAGTTAAGTTGGACAAGTCTTTATTATAAACCTGGTTAAATAGGTTTCTCAAAATACTGCCTTTAAGGCTGAAATCCTTCCAGGATTTGTTTTATTAGAAGGTGTTTTTTCTCCCCGTATTTCACCAAAAGTGATTTCTCATTTTTCAAGAACAAAAAAAAAAGAGTGGGAGAGAAGCAATTTTGGCAGTTTTTCCACTTTGAGCCACTCTAAAGTGGTGCAGCATCTCATGCATCAGCACTCCAAAACAGTGGCAGGGCACTTTAACTAAAGCTTGTCCAATGAGCTTTAGTTAAAGTGCCCCTGCCGCCATTTTGAAGCATGGGGACACTGATACGCAAGACACAGAGGCTGGCTGAAGCACATTAATTAGCACAATCCAGCAGATTCAATTAACTGAGTTTGCTGTGATATGATGTAATTACAGCACATCAGAGCAGCTTCCCAGCCTGTCTACAGGCACCCAGAGAGTTTAGATTATGGTTTGTATAGAATGGTTTGGATAGGGATGATCTTACTTCAGGCAGAGGTTTGGACTAGATTGTGGCGGGCCAGTAGGGGGCGCTCCTGCGTTGAGCCGCCCACCTCCCTGCGGCCGACCACCTTCCAGGCTCCGAGTGCCTCCCTTGGGGTGCCTCCCGTCCGGCCGACCCCTTCCCTGGAGCACACCCGCTAGCCTGGGGGTCCCGCTGCCACCATCCAAGGCTCTGGACTCACTTCTGGCTCTGTGCACCTTGGAAAACACAGGCCTGATTGTCCAATGGGTACTAGACCCAATACAAGCACTTGGGGCACTTCCCCAAGTCAGGGGCTGA